AGGGTGCAACAATGAATGAATGGAATCCCAAAATCTCTGTAGATGTTCATTGAAATGAAAAATAAACAACCTAAATTAAAAAAAAAAAAAAAGAATCAAGAATTCCAATGTCTTGACAAATTACATCCCAACTACCAGGCCCATCTGTCAGACATCTGTGGGGATAAGGAAAGCTTGGGGTCTAAACACAGAACACAGCACACATAGAAACTCTGTAGGGTAAAAAAAAAAAGGTCAACTTTTAATCGTAACTGACCAAGCTCTATCTAGGAACATCTCCAAAGTAAACAAAAGAAACACAGTAAAATTCTTCTATTGAAGAAACCACAAATTTCGCCTGCTCCAGAACAGTTATGGGTCAGGCCAAGAACAGCCCACTACTGAGGCCAGTTCATTACCTGTACAAGTCTCTCATCCCAAAACAAGTCAGGATGGGAGAAAGACTCGTCTTCTCCTCCCATCAGGCTGAGACTCACGAAGTCACCAGCAGGGTCCTTCCTCCTGTCCCTTGTCCTGTACTACGGGTGATGAGGCCCTAGCCTCCCAGCTTAGCTCTGTCCCAGTCTACACAGCTCATTGTGCCCAGAGCAGAAATTAAAACGTGCACTAGAGAGAAACCCTCAAATGCCCCATCATCTCCACGATACAAGTCACATAGCAGAAGGCAAAATAAAACAGCTCTAATGGAAAGCGAAAGCAGCCAGCTCTCAGAAGACACGCTCAAACTCTGTCTGGTTGGTAGTGGTAGGATTTCGGCTCTGGTTGGTGGCCTGCTGGGTGATCTGGCTGCCCTTCCGGCGTGGTGGTGCCAGGTATTCAAACATGGACGTCAGGTGAGTGGAGAGCATGTTCTTGAGGTCTGAGGGCATGGGGTCAGACCAGAAAAAGTCGTGATTGAGGGCATCATCACTGTCAATGCGCTGAGCAGGATCCAGCACAAGCAATTTGTCAATGAGGTCCAATGCGTAGGGGTCACGCACGTAGGCCTTAAGCCTGTCTTTCACTTTCCGTTTCTGGCCTTTGGGCAGTTCCAGCTTCTCAAACAGTTCGTACTTGTCCACATTTGGCCAAACCTGGAGGAAGTCAATGAGAAAAGGTGGAGTTAGAGAAAGGTGTGCACAGCTTGTCTGAAGCATCTACATCTACTCGGTTGTTCCCTAGACATCCCAGGAAGGAAAACTCAACTCTTCCAAGTGAGGGGGCAGCAGCTGTCATGTACTGGCCATAATCACAGAGCCAGACCTTTCTATAAACTGCGTGCGCACATTAGGAACCAACCCTAATAAAAGTATTACCTCTGTTTTACAAAGACAAAAGAAGAAACCTAACAAACCTTAGGAAGGAGTTCAAATAGCTTACTAACAAATTAAATAACCCCAGAATTAACTGGTGATGGCATTTAAGGCTTGACCACAGGCCACGCAGCGCTTCAAAGCAGGCTCTTCCTCCTCTATCAACCACCTTTCCAAGGGAAGCTTTTGGCCACTACCCTTACTCCTGTCCTACCAGGTGGACTCTTGGGCCTCTGCACCCATGGGGACCAAGGGCCTGGGCAGGGTGAACACGCACCTCAGGGGTGATGGAACCACAGAGCTGGCTGATGAGGGCAAGCTGGTGCTGCTCAGTGTTGCCTTGCATAATAGGGCTTCGGGTCCACATCTCCGCCATGATGCAGCCTGCACCCCACAGGTCAATGGGGGGGCCATAGTCCCGCTCCCCTGGAAAGAAGAGTGTAATCAGGAGGGGTCTCCCATGATTCAATGCCCTCAGACCAAGAGCCCAGGAAGTCACAGCTGGGACCAGGCAGGTGCACAGGCCCTGCTAACAACCTCTGAATGCCCAAGGATCCTCACCAAGCAACAGTTCTGGGGGCCTGTACCAGAGTGTCACCACACGGTTGGTATAACGGTTGGGCTGGCTGTTCTTGGCCAGGCTGAAGGCTCGGGCCAGCCCAAAGTCGGCCAACTTCAAGACTCCGTCTCGGGTGATGAGCACATTAGCTGCCTTCATGTCTCTGTGCAGGATCTGCAAGAAGGATAGAGGGAAAGGCTCAGCCAGTCACATCTACCACATTGAGAAAGCACATGCCAGCCCAAGGCTCACTTTCTGGTTCTTACCTTGTTCCTATGGATGTAGTACAGCCCGTTGAGAAGCATCTGCATGACCCTTTTGATCTCAGACAGTGTGAACTTGACTAACACATTACTCAGCAGCCCAGCAAGGTCATGTTCACAGAAGTCAAATACTAGGTATATACTGCCCTTGCAACGATTATAGGGGGAAGCTGAGGAAGGAAGAATCAGAGAAGATAAGAATCAAAATTCTAGCATCCCACAACCAGCTCCTACTCCCTCCAAACCCATGAACTGCCTATTCCCTCCAGAGCATTCATTTATCTAATCCTTTACTGACAAAATATATGTAGTGTGGCAGGTCTTGGGGATGCACCAGCTACAAGGGCAGAGCACTGCTATATTTGGGCTATGAGGAGGGAATTTAAGAGCCTATCAGTCTTTAGGGAGCTAAGCTAGCAGAAAGGGGGCACTTCTCTGGTGGTTTGAATCCACTACATGTCAAGGGAGAAAGAAGGACAATCTCCTTCCGTGCGATTTATAGCCTTGGAAAGTCCCCTGAGGGGCAGGTATTAGTTGGTTCCAACTCAATCACAATTCAATTTTTTTGAAATGGAAGTTTCCAATTTAGGAAACAAAGACCTTGAACCCTCCCTTTCTCCATAAACCCCCTTTTTCCCATCTGAATACGGAGAACAAAATTCAAACAACTTACCTTTAGTTCGACAGATCTCAATCAAATTGACCACATTCTCATGTTTCAGAAGCTGGAGAATCTTGATTTCCCGTAAAGCTGTGATGGGAAACTGGGCAGAGAGAAAGACAGGGCATGAAATGTGAGTCTGAGGCTTTTGTGCTGGAGTCTGTAACAAGGAAACCATATCAGAAGAAATAAGAATACAGGCTCTGAAATAAGCAGCCTCAGATCCTGTATCTGTAAAAGGGTTTAACAGTAGTACAGTAATAGTAGTGTTAGGATAAAACAACCAACCAATGGAATGAATAACTTTACTTAACACAGATTCTTTACTGTCAGTCAGCAAATGAACCATCATTCCCTCTACTTTAAACTTTTTAGCCTTATGCCTGTGTTTAACGTGCTGTGTGGTAACAAAAACAATTTTTAAAATGTTGTTTGAGCATTGATCAATTAATTACATAACAGACAATGTACACAAATGATATAAAACACAATACGCATAAATGAAGCACAATGTGTATAAGAGACTGGATGAAAAACAAATTTTTAAAAAATGTTGCTAAGAAATTAAATTTCTGGTAGCACAGTACCCTAGCTGCTAAAAGGTTGGTGGGAGAAAGATGTGGTAGTTGAATTGCATAAAAATAGACAGTCTTGCAAACAGGATGGTGTAGTTCTACCATGTCCCAGAGGTTAAAGCTACCAATTAGAATCAATCTGGTGACATCTAAAGGCGGAAAAATGGGTCCCTGGGGGATTGGATCAGAGCTAAAATGAAGTAGATTAAGGGGCAGTAATCCTCTTCTATACATGCCCTTCAATATTTTTATTTTTAAAGCCACGTGAGTGTCCTTTTCTTACTTTAAGTGAAATAATCATTTATTAAAGAAATCGTTCTCAAAGGCTTCTGAACTCTGAACTAGGGTGCACTCAGGCACGCATAAACTCCCCCCTCCTAGACCCAATCACGTCGAAAACAAACAAATGTTTCAGAATGTTTGGATTAAAGGATTTCGTGTGAAGGTCAAATTCCCAGTAATGTGGCAATTCCCACAACGACTACACAGAAACGGAACCTGTCGATAAAGAGTCCTGGGGAGAGCAGGGTGAAACCAACACTGTTCGCTGGAGCCCGCAGCCTTGCTCACTCAGCCGGTACTTACCCCCTCTTTCTCATTCTCCATCAGCACCTTCTTCAGAGCCACCTTCTGGCCGGTTTTGCGGTGCTTAGCCTTAAACACCTCCCTAGGCCAAGAGGGGAAAGAGGGAGACCTCATTAAGCCGTTTCCATAGGGCTCGCCCCTCCCCCACGAGAAGAGGCAGGCGGGGGAAGCAGCCTCATCAGCTGGGCAGGTACGGGGTCACTCGGCCACCTTACCACCCTGGGTCATAGGACCCCGCCCCACCCCGGGCCTCTGCTTCCTTCCCTATAGGCTCTCCTCTTCACCCGGTATCTCGCATTCTTCATCAACTCCCCTCTGCAAGCCCTCTCTGGCCCCTACTACAGGCCTTAGACTCCTCCCCGCCATCCGGCCCCATCGCGCCGGCAGATCCGGCGCGGCCTGGAGAGACTATGGGACAAGCCTAGATCTCGGCTGCTTCCCAACTACTTCCGCCAGACTCCGAACACTCCGACATCGGATCTGGAAGGTGTAAGTACAGGGAACCCAGCTACTCAAGGTTCAGTCTTACCCAAAAGTGCCTTGGCCGATCTTGGCGAGTTTTTCATATTTGGTTACTTCATCACAAAAGGGGCACTCCACTGAGTCATACTGCTTTGCCATGGCCGCCTCCAATGCGCCGCCGCCTCCAGCTGCCGCAGGTATAAATGCCGTCCCAGGTCCCGCCGCCGTGCTCCAGGCCCCACCACGACCACGCCACTTCCGCCTCCACGCCCACTTCCTGCCTCGCGGCGCAGACCCCGCCTCTTCCGCCCGCCTCCCGCCGCCAGGCCCCCTGGGACTTGTAGTTCCCGGGAGGCCAGAGGGAGCCGGAGCTGCAGAGGCACCTCCGCCGCCACCGCTGCCCCCGCCGCCGCCGCCGCCTCCACTGCCGGTGGCGGCTCCGATCGGGGGCGCAGAGAGCCGAGGTCCCGAGGCTGGGGCTCGGGGCGGTACGTCCCGCTGCATCGGCCCGGGCCGCCGCTGCTGGCGAAGCTGCTTGCTGCTCTGGCGCCCGATCTGGGGCCAGCCGCAGTGCCCTGCTCCTCCTCCTCCTCCGACGGCACCGCCTCCGCCGGGCTGCGCGGAGAGGCGAGCGGGGGGGGCGGTCCCCAACCCGCGGCCTGGGGGCTCCCTGGCCGGGCCCCGGCCCGGGGCGTCCAGGTTAGGGGGCGAGACTGGAAGAGCCGACAAGGAGGCTGCCCGACAGCCTGGGAGGGGGCGCGTTATAAAGGGGGAGGTGCCCCGGCCTCACCCTCCCTTCCCCCTTCGCCCGCCCCCTCCCTCCTCCCTCCCACCCTCAGCGGCCGCACCTGCCGCCGCCGCTGCTGTCGCCGCCCGCCCGCCCGCTGTCCGCCGGCCGCCCTCGGCGCGTCACCGCCCGCGGCCCCTCCCCCGTTTTCGGAGGTGGGGCTCCGTGCCCGACACCTGGCTGTGGGGCTCTCCTCCGCGTACCTCAGTTTACCACCCCTGGCCGGCTGCCGCGGGGAACCCCTTCCTTCACAAATCGGATTTCCCCCCATAGACGAAGGCGAGAGACGCCAAGGAAGAAGCTTCAGGGCCTGGGAGGAGAGAATGGCCCCCGCTGCCGCCTCCCCCGGCCCTTTCCACCCGTCGTTGATATGGCAACCGACAGCCGCCAGGGGGCGCGGCGACATTGGAAGCGGCGAGCCAGCAGCGCCTGGGCCTCGAATTACCGCACCCCTACCTTATCCTTACTGTACCAGAGCCATTTGAGCCCATGAAAATAGCTAACCTTTATTGAACATCCCTCTGGGCTTCAGGAGAGCTCCCACTGGATCCTGGCAACAGCTCCCATATCAGGATCACGAGCCCATTTTACAGAGGGAGACACTGAGGTTTGGAGACGTGAGGTCATTTGCCCAAGGTCAGTCATGCAGTTACAAAGCTGGGACTTGAATTTGGGCTTTTAGAATGTGCAAAGGATTCTTGTAGTTCAAGTTAAAGAGGAAAGCAGTGATGCTATTTGAGGTCTTCTGTCCTTGTACCAGGCATTGAGCTGTCCGTTCACCCACCATCTCCCTCCTAACCCTAGGCTGTCCCCCTGACCATCCTTCTGTACCTAACCCAGCATCTTCCTGGCATCTTCCTAGCAGAGCTTTGAATCACTTCATACCAGCCTGACCCCCCCGTGGAGAATCAGCTCTACTAAATTAAAGTCTACATTAACCACCTGGGATCTTGTAAACTAAAGATTCTGATTCAGTATATCTGGGGTGGAAAGGCAGATTCTTAGCAGAAAAACTTATTTTATCCTAGAAGCCTCCATTTTCTTCCTGCAGCTCTGCCCAATGACCAGCACCCTGTAAAGCTGTCTTTTCTGTCTTCCACACCCCTTAAATCTGCTTTCTCCTCTCCAACCCTCTGCAGATGAATCCTGAGTCCTGGCCACTCAAGTCTGGCCTCTCCGCAGCACTTGCTAGATTATTCTGAAGTGAAGTCTGCATGTATTTCCCACCTTCTTCAGACCCTCCACTGTCTTGTGACATCTGGGTCTCTTTCCACATCATTTTCACAGGTTGTGACAACAAGATTCTTACCACTTCCTGACTCCAGCTTTCCTACCTTTAGGGTACTGCTTCCCCTTATCCCACTTATTTCAACTCCCCAGAACCACTCTGCCTGCAGAAAACCCTCAGGATTGTTCCCTGGCTCTTCCTCTACACTGCCTGGCCTTGAAGCCTTATTGCAGGCAGTAATGGGTTTGGTGATATTGATATTCCAAAAACCCTGTTCTGGGGCAAAGCCTCCAGGGAGGGCCTCCAGGATCAATGTGAGGAGTGGATGGCCTCTCTGGGCAGTATAGAGCTGGTTTTCAGTAGTTCTGTGATGTATAAGGTAATGATAGGCCAACTTCATGGGTCTGCTATTAGAAACAGAGTCCATTGGATAAGCTGGAGTAGGGGAAAGCAGGGAACATAAAAACAGTAATTACCATCTATTGAGGGGAAAATAAATGGGCCCAGCCCTACACTTAAAACTGTAGACCTACACTTAAAACTGTATAAGAATTATCTCTAGTCACATTTAACCTTATGAGAGAGGTACTGTTTTCAGCTCTATATGTTGTTGTTGTTGACTGACTTCAAGTTGAGCACAACTCATAGCAACCCTAGGAACAAAAGGCTTGAAGCCCCTCTACAACTGTCGACATTTATCAAAGTTCATAGAGTTTCTGAAGACATGTTATTTAGAAAGTAGAGGCCACTCCTGCTTCCAAACCTGTCGTAGTTTGTTATTGTTTTTATATGCCATTGAGTCGCTTGTGATGTATAGCGACCCTATGTACAGCAGCTCTGAATGCTTCCCTGTCCTGGGCCTGTCTCACTAATTCTGACACATCAACCCACATCCTCCTAGTCACTGTATCAATCCTTCTCATCCTGAGTCTCCCTTTCCTGCTCTGTCCGTCCACCCTTCCAATCATGATGTCCTTCTCCAAGGACCAATCTCTCCTGGCCATGTGCCCAAAGTAAATGAAGCAGAGCTTCAAAATCCTAGCCTCCAAGGAAAGACTTGGCTTCACCCTCTCAAAGACAGACCTGTTTGTTTTCTTGGCAGTCCATAGTATGTTCAGGACTCTTCTTCTCCAGCACCACAACTCGAAGGCATGTATCATCTATGATGAGAAACCAATAGCAGTATGTAATGCAAGGCATTACGGAAGTGACTGGTGATCATATTGAGAGGTGGCTGGGAAGGGAGGGTTTGACCAGGTAGCTGATTGTGCAAGGAATGGGGAGGTTGCAGGGAAAGGGTAGAGACAAGTCACATGTGCTTGTTGTGAGTGGGCAGTGAATGTATTGGTTATTTCTGTAAGGAAAGTGTCTTTCACCTGCTAGGTAAAAGGCTTGTCTGTCAGATATTCTTCTAACAGTGAACATCCAAATTGGGACAGACTAGGAAAAAGGATTGGCCATCTACTTCTGAAATATAACTGCCTTTGAAAACCCTATGTACAGCAGAGCTCTATATACTGGGACTCAAAGGTGATGTTATTGGCCAAGGTCAAGCATCTGGCGAGTGGCCAAGCTGGTATTTGAACCAGATCTCTGTGGTGTAAAACGTAAGATTTTATCCATGTCGGTTTCAGTCCCATCCAGGCTGGAGATGGGGCCAAGGCAGAGGCATGACACAGGCTGGCCTGGAGGTAGGAGATGAGGAGATAAAACACAGGACTAGTGAGGGGTCTGCCATGGGTCTGAATGACTGTCATTCTCAGACTCTCAGACCAGCACCCATACCGGTTTCCCACGAGGCCCCCACTAAGCCAAGTCCTGTTGGCAGAGGCCTCAGTATAGATTCCATTGGCAATGTCACCTCCACCCCATCGTCCCTGCCCTGACCTAACATCCGCAAGTCACTTCCCCTTTGAGCCTTGAACCCTCAGGACACCTTAGGTGGGGAAGTAGGTCAGGGGGTTGTTTTTAGTTTACTGCTATTGTATGTAATAGAAACAACATAAGTAAATGACTTTAATAAACACATTTATTCTTTCATAGTTTAGAAGTCCAAATTCAGGTCACTAGCTCTAGGAGAATTCTTTCTTTGTCACTTCAAGAGGAAAGTCCTTGGCTCCTTTCAATATCTATGGGCTTGATGTCTCTTAAAGATCTTCATATGTCTTCCCCTGGGTCTAGGAGGTTCTCAGCAGAGAGGCCCTGGGTCCAAAGCACCAAAGGTTAGGTGCTATTATTAAACCTAAGTTATGAAAGAGGAAACTGAATCTGAGAGATGGAGTGGCTGGCCCAAAGTCACTTAGCCCAGAAGCAATGGAGCTGGGATTCAAAGCTAGCTCTATTCCCTCTCAATGTGAAAGGTCGTTAGCAATTACTCCATACTGCTTCCAATATCAGGCAACCACGTCAACCCAGGGGAAAATATCTACTGAATATGTTGTTGGTTGCTGTTGAGTTGGAACAGATTCATTGCTGACACTCCAGTGGGTTTTCAGAAGCAGAAAATTGCATGGGAAGAGATTGCTCGTCTTCTATAAAGCAGTTGGTGGATTCAAACTCCATGCCTTTGGGATTATGGCACAGCTTCTTACCACTGGACCACCAGAGCTCCCTACTAAATATCTATTGTGGTCAAAATAGATGAGTAGGGCATTCTGGAAGCTTGAGTTCTCTTTGGAACATATAAATAAAAATAAGTGATAGTGATAAGAATTATCACCTCAGTGTAGATGTTTTCAAGATCATGGAAAGGATGTTCCGGTCTACTCACTCATACACTCGCTCATTGCCATCAAGATGGAATTGATTCATAGCTGACCCTCCACTCAGTTTCAGGAGCCGTAAATTACATGAAAGGAGACTGCTTAGATTTCTCCCAGGGAGCCGCTGGTGGATTTGAACCAGCAGAGAGGTGTGGCCTTTAGGTTCACAGTGCAGCTCCCTACAGACAAGAGCACCAGAGTTCCTTTCCCATACTATTAGCAGGGGGAAACAGGCACAGAGAGGACAAACTACTTGTCCATGGTAATACAAGTAAGGACTGAATTTGGGTTTGCATGAGCCAACTGTTTTTGGCTGCTGTTGTTGCTGTTGGGTCTAGCGACCCTATGAATGAAAGATCTGAACCCTATTCTAAAGTCTCCCTTTCCTGATAGTACATGGTTAAGCTATAAGCAAATGAATCAGATTGGGGGAAAGAGGCAAGGAAAAGGGATAGAAATTTGAGCAGGGTTCCCAGGGACAGTATGACTCAGGCCAGCTCTGGAGGGACTGGAACAGATGCAAAATATTGAGCCAATGGAGAGAGAGTAGTGTCTTGGGTGTGAATCCAGCCCCAGCAAAGCCTGGAGTTAGGAGAGCAAGTTAGTAAGCTAAAGGGTGCGAAGGCTGGGATAATCTGGCTTCTAGGCAGGCTAAGGGACAGCCACCCACCAGCAGGTCTCCAGCCACACTCTTAACGGCCACTCGAGGCTACACAAAGGGGACTCTGAGCTTGGCAGGGCCGCCACACTGAGCTCCATTCATTCTTCCAAGGACACCAGCAACTCCCCTGGCACCAGGGCCAACTGCAAGGCGGGCCCTGTGCTGAGGGGCCCCTGCCAAAGCACGGAGTCCTGCTGTGGCTCACACCACGAGCCCACCCATGGAGGTTCCCCTGGCCGCTGCCAGCCTTCCCCTCGCCTGACTCATTCCACAGCAAAAACAACTGGTGCTTGCCAAGGCCCACAATGCACTCCCATTTGCTCCTTTCATTCAGTAACCCCGGGAGATAGGGGTTACCATGTCCCCATTTCATAGATGAGGAAGCCAAGGAACAGGTCAGTCATAGGTAATATAGCAAGTCAGGAGGAGGCTGGACTGAGGAGCCAGTACCCACTGAAGTTACCCCTTGCAAGTTACCCCAAGCTGGGGCCATGTCCTGGGAGAGGAGATGGGGGTCCCTCTATGTTAGGAAGGCCCCTGTTATCCTACCCGGCAATGGGGACCCCTCTATCTTCTGACATCAACCTGAGACAAAAAGGGGTACTGGCCTCAGGGGATTGACCCTGCCCCAGCTGCATTGGTCCACTGGACAAGTGGTTCATCTTCAAACCATCAGGAAGGCTCATGCAGATCACCCCAACCCCCTTATCTCCCTGTCAGAGGGTGACACCAAGGCCATGTAGGTAGCCATTTAAAAACCCATATTCTGCAGCTGGACTAAGCAGTTTCCAACTCCAGGTGACTTTTGGGGGCTCAGTTTCCACATCTGTAGAATGGGACAAAAGTAATATCATTTACCTTGAAGAGTGAAAGAATGAGCTCTGTGGCTGGAATGCACTGAGCAATTAGAAGATACTAGTTGCTGTTATCATTGTCATAAGGAATGCAAGAATCCATCTGACATTGAACTTCCTCCTTTACAGCCCTGGGTGCTAAACCAAGATCTAGAATAATAACAATGTCAGAGCTACTGCAAGCTGACTGTGTAGTATGATCCATTTTAAAGATGAGGTGATTGAGGCTTTAGAGGCAGAAGTAACTTGTTCACACACACAGAGCTGGGGTTTGAAGCCTCTGGTTTCCCGCCCCAGCCTGAGCAGCTGCTGACATCCTCTGCAGGTGTGGAGGATGACCTGCTTGACAGGAGGTTGCATTTCCTTATCTGCCCTGTTCATATGACTGTGCACATAGGGAAGGTGTTAGGGTGCAAAAAGTACCAGGGAATCCAGAAGGGCAAGCTGTAGCCCAATCTGTGCCACTGACCCACTGTGCGAACTGGGCAGTCCCTCTGCCTTTTTGTAACTTGGTTTCCCCCCTCTGTGTACAGTGAGAATGTCAGGCAAAATTATTCCTATGTCTCTGGCAGCTTGAACACAAGAGATCCTGCCTTGGTGAGCACAGGCCATATCTGTGCCAAGCCCTGCCTGCACTCACAGACACAGAGGGGAAACTAAGGCTCACTTAGCAAGTTAGTTCCCCAGATCAAGATTCCAAGAGACCCTAACGGTAAGCCCAGTTTGGGTCTGAGTGGTCCTGAGTCCTTGGTCCTAACTGCAAACTCCCCTACCACAGTTGCCAATCCATCACCTGGATACTAAGGCTTACAAAACAGACCTGCATGCAGACCTGCCTCCCTGTCCCTTCTTGTCTCACTGGCCAAGGCCCCTGAAAGCTGATAGAGGGCCCCAGTGGCCCCTGGCCCAGTGGGCTCCATTCCCAGAGTTTGTGGTTTGCTCCTTAGACCTTCTGGGTCCCAAGGGGTTGCTGTATTCCCCCTGCTCCCTTGCTGCTGAGGCCAGGGAGGTGACCCAGAGGGGCCAGGATGGGGGAGGCCCCAGTCCCCGCCCCCCTGCGGAGAGGGTGAGGAGGGTGGGGCTGTGGGAGTTTCACTGGTTTAAAAATACACAGAGGAAGCCAGTGAGGGCTTGAGAAAGGGGAAGGGGAGGCAGGGAGGCACCTCATTACTGATGTCCACAGCTTCAAGTGGCTACTTGCTCGCTGCTCGAGGGATCCGCACAGCTCGCCAGGATGACAGAGGGGCCCAGAAAAGCCAGCAAAAAGTTCAGTGAGTGCAGAACTGTGTCGTCTTCTATCTTCCCGTGTGTGTCGGTCTGTCTGAGTCTCTCACTGTGTCAGTTTCTTTGTCCCTCTCCTTTCTGTTTTTCTCTCTGTCCATCTCTGTCTCTCTCTGGAGCTGTCTGCTTCTAGGTTCATATACCACTAACTCTCCAGCCCTTCTTTCTCCCTGGCTGTTTCTCTGATGTCTCTCTTTGCACACCTCTATCTGTCTCCATCTCTCTCCATCTCTGACTATCTAATCTCATGATTGACTGTGTTGATGAAGATCTCTTTCCTCTCCCTCTCTGCCCTACTCAGCTCAAGTCCATACTAATTTCAAATTGGAAGTTACTGGGGTGAGGCATGGGGGTGCATCATGGATGCTGTTGTCCCCCATCCTTAGCAACAGTGAGACTGGGACCTAGCACTTTCGTGAGAAAAGAGCCCAGAAGTACGAACTAGGATCCTGGGCCGGGGGCCACACTCACTGTTACTTTTGCTGCCCCAGATCCATCCCCTCTGGTCCTAATGAACTTGTATCATCTCCTAGAACCTTTGCTCTGACAGCAAGAGTGGGAGGTGGTAGAGTAGAACACAGAGTTACATGTACATTTCACAGATGGGAAATACCAAAGTCCAGAGGCTTGCACAGGGCCATATAGAACCACAGAGATGCAGGCAGTAGTTCACGCCCCTGGACTCTGGGCCTCAGTTTCCCTCTGTGTCCCACTACTACTTCTACTGCAAATGCCCAGGAGATAAAATAAGTCATGCTGATGAAGGAGGCAGCCCTCTGGCCATGGACACAGTTTCTGCCCACAGGTGCCCTTTCTAGTACAGAGCTCCAGCATTTTCTGACAGCTTTTCTCAGGAGGCAGGAAGGCCTGGTTAGGGGCTGACAGGGGAGGGAGCAAACTCTGATCCAGGAGTCCAGCACCTGGGTCCTAGTCTTGGCCCAGCCATGGGCTTGTTGTGTGACCCTGGGCAAGTCCCTTCTCCAGTCTGGGCTTCCTGTTGATAAGAGTGTCTTACCTGTATCTCAAGGTGGTTGTGAAGATCTGAGGAGATGGAGGTTGTCAAGGAAGTGGAAAAGGCCAGTCTTTCCATTTTGCTCATCTGGGGGCCCTAAGAATGTCAGATGATGAAGGCTGGGAGGAGGGACCGTCCCACAGCTGGGGGTGGTGGAGGGAGATTTTTCACCCCCCTGCGGAAGTGAGGTGATGGTATCATCCGAGCACTGCCGCCTGAGTCAGGAATGTGGGCTCAGCTGACAGGAAACAGAACCGCAGAGAGTGTGACCCTAGACCTCCAACACCCCTTCACATTTCACGACAGAGCTCCCACCCCGCCCCCACATGTGTTCCTGGGGTCACTTCACTGTTCTGAACCTCAGTGTTCTCATCTGGAAAATGGGTAGTTAGAATGAGACATGGAGTTGTGTTGAGAATTCAGTGAAGTAATGCATGCAGCAAGCTCAACAAGAGCAGAGGCATTTATCACACAATGACAATTGTCACCATATTGTCATAGCTTCCTATTGAGGCTAGCTTGTGTGCCATGCACCCTGTGAAGGAAGTATGTTACCTACATGCTTGTCTTCAATCCTTCCGCTGCCCACAGGAGGAAAGTAGATATTATACCTCTCACATTACTGAGGTAGAGAATGAGGCTCAGAAAGGTCTAGTGACTTGCCTAAGGTCACACAGCTAAGATACGGAAAACTAGAGATTCAAGACCAGAACAGGACGACTACAAAGCAATGATGTCATGCCACCTCTTGGGAATGTGTTAACAATTAGAGGGCGTGTCAGGGAAGCCCTCCACCCTCCTTGGACCCTCACTAAGTGATAACTGGAAATAGTGTTATTGCTGCTAGCACTGTCTTTAACCCTTTTTTTTTTTTTACCATCTCTGCCAGAGTTCTTCAAGTTCAAGGGCTTTGGGAGTCTCTCCAATCTCTCCCGGTCCTTTACTCTGCGTCGATCTTCAACCCCTATAAACATTCAATCCCATCTGGAGCCTGACACCTTTGAAGCTACACAAGATGACATGATCACAGTTCCTAAGAGCCCTCCAGCCTATGCACGCTCGAGTGACATGTATAGCCACATGGGTACCATGCCTCGCCCCAATACCAAAAGGGCCCGGGAACGACAAGCTGCACATGAGGCTCGGGAGGTGGATCCTGAACCCCACCTGATGTCCCGAGGTCTACCAGACCCTCCAGGCCCAGAGAAAAACAAGGAGATGGTGGTGCCAGCTGATGTGCCCCTGGACAACACCCCTGCATTGGAATCCACTCCTCCAGCAGAAGAGGTGAAACCCACAAGAAAACCCGAGAACCCTAAAGTAGACATGGAAGAGGAGGAAGGTCCCAAGGATGAGTCCTCAGAAAGGTAGGTCTTCCGAGGAGGGGGAGTGGAGTGCAATCTGCAGGATTTGTGTCTCCAGCCTCCTGTCAAACATAACCCCAGAAAGGATGTCCCAACACACAACTGGGTTTACAAAAAAGGAAAAGAAACTTACATGTTGTTAACCAAGCGCTTCCTAGGCCTAGGCTTTGTGTTAAGACTTCCACTTGTCATTAATTCTCAAGGGGGGGAGGAAACTCAATGAGAAGGGACTGTTATTATTTGCATATGACAAATTCAGAAACTGAGACTCAGAGAGGGAGGTCATCTGCCCAAGGCAGGCTGCACAGCTAGCAAATGGCAAAGCTGGGGTTTGAACTGAGGTCCACCAGACTCCAAAGCCATAAACAACCTCCAGCTCAGGCCTAGGCCACTGCTCAGGCCTCACTCCCCCACAATTTACTGGATCCCTCCTTTGTCCTGGTGCCCACCCCCTTGTCATCGTCTTCAGTTCTATTGGAACTTCTCCTGGTTTAAAAATTTTTCAGCTTGGTTATTTGTTGTTGTTGTTGTTGTTGTTGTTGTTGTTATGTGCCATCGAGTCGCTTGTGACTCATAGCAACCCTATGTACAACATCCCTAAACTCTGCTCTGTCCTGTGCCAATCACACCGTCTCCGACACACCCATCTCGATTACCCCAGTCACTGAATCCATCCACCTCATAGAGGGCCTTCCCCTTCTGCACTGTCCCTCTACCCTACCAAACATGATGTCCCTCTCCAAGGACCTGTCCCTCCTTGCAACATGTCCAAAGTATGTTAGACAAAGCCCCAGAATCCTTGCCTCCAAGGAGCAGCCTGGTTTGACCTTTTCCAGTATGAATCTGTTTGTTTTCCTAGCAGTCCATGGTAGTCTCAATACTCTTCTCCAGCACCACAGCTCAAAGGCATCAATTCTCCTTCTATCCTCCTTAGTCATTGTCCAACTCTCTGATGCATAACAAGTGATTGCAAAGACCATGGCCTGTATCAGACGCACCTTAGTCTCCAAAGAGACACCATTGCTCTTCAGTACTTTAGAAATAGAGTATATTAATTTCCCAGGGCTACTGTCATAAATTCCACAAAGTGAGTAGCTTACTACAACAGCATTTTATTATCTCAGAGATCTGGAGGCTGAGAGTTCAAGTCAGAGGACCGAAGAGAGTGATTTTTTTGAGGGCTCCAAAGAGGATCTTTCTTTGCCTCTCTTCTGGCTTAGCTGTGTTTCTTGGCAACGTCCCATGGAATCTGTTCTCTGTCTCCCTGGTTCTGTGTGTCCTTTCTTTGTGGACACCATCCGTGTTGGATTGTTTGTTCACTGCTGTTGAGTTGGATGGAACCAACTCATAGCTGACCCTCTCTGAGTGGCTGTATGTTGCACAGGAGGAGATTGCCCATTTTCTCCTACAGAGCAGCTGGTGGAATTCTCACCACCCTTTTGGAATTGACGGCACAACTCCCTACCCACTAGATTCAGACCACTTTACTCCAGTATCTCATGTTAACCTACCATCTTCAAAGATCTTATTTCCAAACAAAATCTCATGCACAGGTATCAGGGATTAGGGCTTTAATATATCTTTTGGAGGAATATAATTCAATCCATAACATACTGAGTCCATTTCATGCAAAAATACAAATAATGATGATGTGACAATAGTTTCTGTTCAGTAATTATTTTTAGTGGGTGCGAAAATAATTGTTTTCTCACTGAAAACCCTGTTGTTGGTGTGTATTGTTGAGTCAGAACCAACTCCCAGCTGACCCTTCAGAGGGTTTTCAAAGGCAGTTAATCACAGATTATCCATCTTTCTCCTGTGGAGCAGCTGGCGAATTCAAACCACATACTTTCAGGGTTGCAATGCAGCTTCATACCACTAGCATGCCAGAGTTCCCTGAAAACACTGTAGAAGAGTTTATTCTTTTTAGAATCCTACATATGGGAAAATTGAGCTCAGTAAAGGTTGTAGAGCTAGAATTTTAGCTGGAAATTTGACTGCCTCACACTTATCCATCACATTGTAACAACCACATGGCTTTTACATCTAGGGCCATTTTCTTCATGTTCCTGGAAGACTGCCTCTGCCTGAGCCAAAGCAATTAATAGATTTTCAGTCCTCAGAATCTTTGGCTAGATCACACCAATCAGGAGTACCTGATTGGAGGAAACACACAACTGAATGAAAGTAATCTGGTGATAGGTTCTGGGACCTTCCTTGGGACATCAGACAGCTTCTGTGTGTTGGGTTATAATTTAATCTAGACTGCACCAGCAAGGAGTGGAACTCTATAAAGCTACATAGTGAATCCAGTGTAGGCTTTTCCTCTTACTGGCTTTATGACTTTAGACAAATCCATTCCTCTCACTGTTTCTTCATCTGAGAATAGGCATGTGATAACACCCATTTCATATGGTATAGTGAAAATTATAGGATTATATCCTTCCAGAATCTTAGTTAGCACAGTACCTGGCACACTGAAATGTTCGATACATGGAAATACTTCTGATTAATAAAATTAGTACTTTTTCACCTCTCCTGGCTCATTCAGGCTCCCTTTTCCTGTCAAACGCTTCTAAATGTAGTTCACCCAGACGTGCAGGATTAAGAATTGTGTGTCTAGAATGGAAGACGTGATGGGCCTGAGGGGATAACAGGTACCCCAAGGTCTCAGATGCATGCTCTGGGAATCCTGGTACCTTTCATCCAGGAAGCTGACAATCTGAGGGAGCAGGGTGGGCGTGGCTGATGGGCGTGCCTAAGGAGGAGTGTCCTGTCAATGAAGTCGCCATACTGAGAGGGGCGCAGTGAGGTGGAAGAAGGGGTGGGGTGTTTGGGGGCGTGGCATTCCTGAGTCCGACACTCTCCAGAGTGAAAGCCTTGCGTCAGGAGCGGAGGGGCGTGTTCGGGGCGTGGCCGAGCAGCACAACCCGGTGGAAGGCGTGTCAGGGGCGTGGACGATGAATAGGCTCCGCCCCCGGGCTCTGCCTCTCGCTCCCCAGCTCCACGTCCAGAGAAAGGCGGGACCGCAGCGCAGAGAAGGTCCAGGTGCTGCGGGCTGCAGCCACGGGGAAATCATGACTGCAGTGGGCCGAAGATGCCCCACGCTGGTGCCTCGAGGGTGAGTGACCTGGCTGAGCCTGAGGAGGGCCGGCGAGGACAGCGATCCGAGGGGGAAATCCACAGGGTACAGCTGACAAACTCAGGTACTTTAGTATCGGGCACTTTTCTAATCCGTATATGTTTAGATTTAACTCCGTTCCATTTTGCCCTAGTGCACGTTGGCCATCGGCTCATCGATTCAAAACAGCCCCAGGAAGGAAGTATTATGATCATTCTCCTTATACAGATGAGGAAAGAGAAGTTTAAGTGATCACTTTGAACTAGCTAATGAAAGTCCAAATTTAGTTTAAGTCTGACTTCTGTGTCTATGTTCTTAATCGCTGGTCTCCAGCAGGCTCAGAAGAACCTCTGAGAAGGGTAGTCTTGGGGAAACTTGAGAATGCTAAGCGTAGGACCCCAAAACCAAGTCTTCTTCACCTCTTGGGCAAAGGCCCTGGCAGTTCTGGAAGTGCTCCTGGTCTGACTGTGGACACGGAGATACTGTACCCTACTCCACCACCCTAAATTCTGGAAATCCTAAGGATAATGAGGTTAGGAAGCCAGGTTGAGCCCTCCCCTGTTATCCCTGGATCCAATGTCCCATGTGTCCACTAAGGCAGGTATGAGCCCAGCTGGTTCTCCTAGGAGCCCCTCCCTGTACCCTGTAGCTTGGAGTCAAGACTGCTCCCTCATCTGATCCCAAGCTAATCCTGCCCTGCTCTGAGCCTCGGTCTCCTCAACGTCCAAAATGGGCTGGAGACTGTGAGGGTCCATTCAGCTTGAGGAAGAGAAAGAATTGCTGCTGAACAACCTGAGGTTCCTTTCCTGAGGACCTTCAGAGGTTGCCATCTCAGTGGCTGCTCAGAGAGCAACCTAAACTGGGGGTTGAGGAAGGGAATTATGTCATTCTTCCCACCCCCTGGGAAGCAGGGTGCACCTGGAACCAGAGGAAGGAAGGGGAAGAGGTGAGGCTGCAGGAGTTTCCTGGTGTCCCACTCCCTGTTGAGATCATGAGGATGAGGAGGAACAAGGAGGGAGGAGGCGTCAGCAGCACGAAGTTGAAGGGCCTTCAGTTACCAGAAAGGAGCGCACCAGCATAGATGCCAGCTGCCCCTCCAGCACTCTCAGCCTTTTGCAAAGAAACAGCAGGTCCCAGAGAGCTGCTGGTGGCCCTCCACCCACTCCCTGCAAGTCCTGTTACAGAGGGGACACCACAGACCCAGACAAGGAAGATAAGTCCCCAAGAAGCACCCCCTGAAGTAATCAGCAAGCCAAGGCTTCCCTCAAAAATGGTCTAGACACCACTCACAACTGGCAGCCATGCCTGGAGCACATTTTTTTTTTTTAGAATTTTTTTTCTCTATAATTAATTATATTTTATTAATTTTCATAAACATTTACAGAGATTTTGGGCTTCCACTCATTCATTGTTGCACTATTCTCTCTACCCTCCTCCCAGTTTGTTCTTGTCCAAATGCCACAGTGCTTGTCAAAGCCAGTTCTGATTAATCTTCTTTGTCAGTGTATCCTTTGCCATTCCCTATCACTCCTCCCTGAGAGAGACTTCACCCTGAGTCATAAGGAAAAGGGGACGGCGTATTCTCTTAGCTACTTCCTGCTGAAAAGGGACGCTGTGGGTTTCAGGGTGAAGATCTTCTCTCACTACTCTAAAGGGCCCCTTTGGCAGTAGGAAACACATAGACTATTATGGAGATTGATTTTGGAATTCAGATGCACTCTTATTGATTGTGCTTGGCTGTACATGTACATATCCTTCAAGATGTATCATGGGGGTGTTGCAACCTAGAAGACACAAATTTGACTAACAAGTTATAAGTACATGAGTCCAAAAATTATGGAAAAGTAAAAGAAAAGATTCTTTCATTGTTTTACAAACACTC